TCCTCCTCCTCCTCCATCCCTCCTCCGTTTCCTCCCTCCGCCCTCCGCCTCCGCCCCCCGCCCCACCCCCTTCCTCGCCTCCCTCCCGAGGTCTGCCCAGCCTCCCCCCTCTCCCTCCCACGGCTCGGGGGAAAAGGCGAGGCGTGGAGGACGAGCTGGTTGCCCCGCTTCTGCCGGCAGCTCCGGGTGGAGGGGCAGGGAGAGGGCGAGTGGGAGGAGGATCAAGAGGAGGAGGAGGAGGATCAAGAGGAGGAGGAGGAGGAGGAGGAGGAGGAGGAGGAGGAGGAGGGAGGAGGAGGAGGAGGACCGAGAGGAGGAGGAGGATCAAGAGGAGGATGAGGAGGAGGAGGAGGAGGATCAGAAAAACGGAGGAGGAGGAGGAGGAGGCAGAGGGGAGGAGGCAGGGGGGAGGAGGCGGCCCCGCCTTCTTGAGCTTGATGATCCAGATGCCCTCCCCGGAGGAGCCGCGGTTCTGCTTGATCACTCGGGGCTGGAACGCCATGGTCTGCGGGTCAGGGCTAGACGGCTGCGGAGGGGAGAGGGGGGAGCAAGTGCAGCGTCAGTGGCACGTCGTCGTCGGGAGCGCGTCGCTGTTTCCGAAGCACCTGGATTTCGGACAAGCACGAAGGCGCAACGCGCTGGCTGACTCGCCAAGACGGCGTGTCATTGGTGCTGCTCGTACGTACCTCCCGCGGACAGCGAAAGCAGCGCTGGTTCCGAAGCACCTGGACTTCTGACAAGCACGAAGGCATGACCCGCTAGCACACTCGCAAAGGCGGCGTGTCATTGATGCTCCTCTCACGTACCTCCCGAGGACAGCGAAAGCAGCGGAGCCAGTGAAGAGCAGTGCCAAAGCAGCACTCGCACGCGCACGGCTTCGCAAACAAGCACGAGCCGTGATTCTCCGTTTCGCGGGGCCCGTGGAAAACCACACCACGACCTGTGCAGGTCCCCCCTGGACGCCGCCAGAGTCCGCCCAGCGAACACGACCCCCCCCACCTCGAAAAAACAACCCTCCGACCACTCCACGAACGTTCTCCCCAGAGGCGCCCCTCGCCCGCCCATCGGCCAACCCCCCCCCTCCCCTGAGGAGCAGAGGCACGGAGGGACCAGCCCAAGGGGGGAGACATCGACCTGGCATCGGCGATACGTCGCCGAGAGCTCGGCGATGGGCCCCCGACAGCGGATCCACACGATCCTGGGCGGGGCGGCCTATCGGGCCCCTGTCGGCGACGAATGGGCGAGCGGGGGTCGATGCCTCCCCCCTGAGCCCACCCACCCCTGCCCGCCAGTCGGAAGAAGTACATAGAAGCATGAAGCGCGAAGGCGGATGAGGTAGACTGGGCTCGGACCCGCCCAAAGAATGACACAGCGCACAACCAAAACCTATCGGTTCTTGAAGTAGGTAGGCGCTTGAAGCAGATTCGAACTCGGGGCTCCAGAAATACCTATACGTTCAACGACCAGCACGTACGCCCGAGACGAAGTCAGGACGAGGATAAGCATCGCGAGGCTGAAGCGGGAATCTCACTGAGGCCTGGCGGCTCCGGAGGACGCATCGGGCGCCGCGGCCTTCTCGGAGCTTTCCCTAACGCTCTGAGAGCGCTCCAGAAGGCTCTGGAACGGAGTTACCCTCGTCCGGACCCCGCCCAACTGTTTAGGAGGCAACTATACTGGGGGCTCTTCGTCGGAAGGATTCAGGAAGAGTCGGCCCCATTGGGGAGCTGCCACGCCGGATTGGGCCGCGGAGGAGGCGGGATTGAGCGGGACTCGCCCGGATCCAGCGGGTTTCAGCGGGATTGATGAAGCCGGACTTCGGACCAGGGCAGAGTCCGAAGTTGACCTCCCAGGACATGCACCCGAACGATTGCCCCGGATGCCCGCGCGTTTCCCCCCAACGCCCGGCCCCGCCTTACCTCGCCCCGCCTCGCCCCGCGGCCGCCGTGCCCGGCCGCGCCCAGGGCTGCTGCCGCGGCGCGCCTTCTTGAAGCCAGCCTCGAACTCGAGGGGGTCGTAGAACGAGAGGGTGTCCTCTCCAGGAGCCGACCACAAGGGTGCGCGAAGCGAGATCGCGCTAAAAAACGGAAATCGTGACGATGCCCCGCTTGGAGAAAGAACGAACGCTCAAGACGGCACCGGTGCCAAACGGAACGAACAGCAATGCGGGACGTTTGGAGCGACAACGGGAAACGGAACTAGTGAACAAAAGCGGAGGCCCGCGCCGAGAGAGTGGCGGTCGTCCGCACGCGCATTGGCAATGTGCGCACGTGTGCGCAGGACCCCGGCTCGCGACTGGCCTCGCCGTCCGGCCATCCTCCCTCGCGAACATGGAGCCCCCCGTCGGCCAAAACAAACAGAACATCCAAGGGTGGCCTCCCCAGGATGCACAAAAACATCCAACAAGCACGAAGAACACGAGGGTAACCTGCCCGAGCCGACCTCGATCTTATACCTCGGTCCAGCTGTACCCTCCGCCCGCCCCTTTATACGTAAGCGCGGACACGTACAATGTCTGCGCGACGTCTCCTGAAATGCCCCCCTCCTCCTCCTCCTCCTCCTCCTCCTCCTCCTCCTCCTCCTCCTCCTCCTCCTCCTCGTTCTCCTCATCATGAGCACCATCACCATCACCATCACCATCACCTTCACCATCACCAACACCAAACACCACATCATCATCATCACATCATAATCACATCATCATCATCATCATCATCATCATCAGCATCAGCATCATCATCAGCATCATCATCAGCATCATCATCATAATCAGAATCAGCATCAGCAGCATCATCATCAGCATCATCATCACCATCACCATCATATCACCATCACCAACCTCAACATAAGAATCATCAACATCAGCAGCCTCACCACCATCATAATCATCATCATCATCATCATCATCATCATCATCATCACCATCATCATCATCATCAGTACCATCATCATCACCATCAGCATCACAATCATCGTCATTATCATCAGCATCATTGCTCAGCATCATAGCACCATCATCAGAATCATCATCATCATCCTCATCATTTTCATCATCATCATCATCATCAGCATCATCAACATCAGCATAAGCGTCAGCATCAGCATCAGCATCAGCATCATCATCAGCATAATAAAATCATCATCATCATCATCATCATCATCATCATCATCATCATCATCATCATCATCATCATCATCATCATCATCATCCCTCCCCTCTTCCCTGGCGTGGGCCCTCCTCCAGGCCGATGTTCAGCGTGGCCACCTTGCACAGGGCGTCCTTCGCGCCCATGAACTCCATCACGTCTGGGGAGGGCCAAACCTCGCCAGGCGGGAGGGGGAACCGAGGACGGAGGGGGGGAGGGGGGTGCGAAAGCGGCAGAGGGACACTCCACCGCGCCAACACTACCACCACGCAGGCCAGCCATGCTGCTGCATCGGCACGCTGGAGGGGTAAAAGAACGAGGCCGAGCCCGAGCCAGACTGGGGTGGGGGGGGGGGGGGGGAAAGGCATGGACGGAGAGGGGGGAGGGAGAGCCAAGGGCGAAGGTGATGAGGCACTGGGAGAGGGAAGACGGGGGAGGGTGGGGAGGGCGGAGCCGAGCGCAGGGGAGGAGGAGTCCTGCAGAGGGAGGGGCAAGAGCGAGAGGGGTGGAGGAGGGAAGGACAAGCAGACGTGAAGATCAGACAACGTGCGGCCCGTGGCGGAGCGGAGGAGACCTCCTGGCCCGAAACCGGCGCTCATGACCCTCCTTGCTCGGCAGCCGCGGGCGCGGCCTCGGGGCCAAGCCGTCGGAGCGTAGCCGAGGCAGCACGCCCAGAGGAGCCAGCACGGCAGAGGACGTGGCCTCGATCAGCAGGGCAGGTGAGGCCAGTCCACGAGATACCTTGCACAAGGAACCCAACTCTTGGACCCCAGGACATCCATCGATTGTTTGGTGTGAGAACGTCACGCCTTCCATAGCGAAACCATCGGAACCCAAGAAACCCAGGGCACCCTGGAGGCCAGCAGGGTAGTTCTTGGCATGGGCCTCCACTGTACCCAAGGGACGGCCTCGCCAGACCGCGGAGGGCGACGCAGGGGAGGGGAGAAAGGCGCCGGGAGACCTCAGCGCGTATCCATAAAGCCTCCTCGTCCAAAGCCTTGTCTACGTACTCGTCCTCCTCCTCCTCCTCCTCCTCCTTCTCCTCCTCGTCCTCCTCGTCCTCCGCCTCCTCGTCATCCGCCTCGTCCTCCTCCTGGTCCTCGCCCGTCTTGAGAAATTTGACACCGCAGCAGAGTAGTTCGAGAACGCGAGAGGTCACCGCAAACCGTACCTGCTGCCCTCGTTGCGCATCAGGGAGCTGCCGCGCCGTGGCGGCCAAAAAGGCAAGGGCCGCTGGATCGCGAGGCCGACGAGACCTCGTGGGCAGAGCCTCGCAGCGCCGGAGGTCCCGACGAGAAGCAGAGGGGAGCAGGACCCCAGGGAGCGGAGGCGGATGAGGACGACGAGAATCTGGCCATCGCTCGGACGTCCATTTCTTGTGTTTTTTCCAGTTTCGTGCGTGGTTTTTTCGCCAAGTGATCAAGGATGCTCCCCGATGGTCCTCGCCGAAGGAAGAATGTACACGTCCGAGCGATGCCGAGCTTCAAGGAGCGGAGGCGGATGAGGACGACGAGACTGGTGCAGCTCGAGGCTCGAGCACGCACGCTCGTAAAACGAGGCCATGAGCGCCGTCCACGTCAACAAGGAAGAGCGAGGCGTCGACGGAATTCGGCACGCACTTTCAGGCGCACCTCGAGCTACGCAAGGAGCAACAAGACTCAGACCACGGGCCTCCAGCGTGCCACTGCCTTTCAGGGACTGTCGACGTTATGCTGAGCTACGAGCACAATAATCATTCGACAAATATGCAGATGACCTTTGAGGGTCCCGGCCCAACGGGCCAGGGCGTGCTAAGATCTCCGGTACCTGGTTAACAATATTTCTAGTTCGCGCGCGCGGGGCGGCCCCTGGGGGTCCCCGGACGAAAAGTACCCCGGCAAGGTCCCGGCAAGGTCGGGCCAGAGATGCCGGAGCCCTGTTACAGGGCCCCAGGACGGGCCAAGAGGTCCCCAAGAAGCCTCCAAGACGGTCCAAGAGGGCCCCGAGACGGCCAAAGATCGCCCGAAGGCGCCCAACAGGGCCCCAAGACAGCCCAAGAGGCACCAAGACGCCCCAAGGGCCAAAATCGCTGAATTCATTATTTATCTCGGATGTTTTTGCTTTTCCTGGCTGCTGTGCGTTTTCTTCATCCCGGACGCTCCACAGGACTGCCTAGAGGCCCCCAAGACCGCTCCCAAGACGGCCCACGAGGCTCCCAAACGGCCACGGAACGGCCCGGAAGGCCCCCAAACGCCCAAGTCCGCCCAAAGAACGGACCAAGAGGCCCAAGACGGGCCCAAAGGGGCTCAAGAGGGGAACCGAGAACTGAAAAAATCGAGCCCACCGCCCCATAAGGCGCCCAATGAGCTCCAAAAAGGCCCCAAGAGCCCCCAGAGGCCCCCAAGACGCGACGCCCCAAGAGGCGCCCAAGAGGCCCAAAAGAGGCCCCAAGAGGCCCCAAAACGGCCCCCAAGAGGCCCCAAAACTCGGCTAGCCCACAACGATGCGACAATATGGGCCGGCGGAATGAGCGAAGCGATTAATAATCATTCGACAAATATGCAGATGACCTTTGAGGGTCCCGCAAGGCTCATAGTGATGCTGGATGCTTCAAGGCCGGCAGCGGGATTCGCTGGGTCAAGGAGATACTGCTGCTACCGACGCTTCAGAAGCCAGGCAAGGAACCCAAAGTTCGCATTATGTTCAGCTGACGAGGCGAGCTCCTACTGCCCACAGCGATCTACAAGCACAACGAGCTGCGGACGGCGCTGGCGGACCAGGGCGAGGAGAACCCGCAGGGCTGGAGAACCCACTGTCCCAGCCGACGCCAGTGGAGATGCCGACGGAGCACCTTCAGATCCAAGGGATACGAGTTCCAATACTCTGGATGGGGCAATAATCGTCCCTCCCTTGGATCCGCTGGGGGGGTTGGGCACGTGACGTCGGAACGGGTGGAGGGGGTTGGAGGAGGAGATGGAGGAGGGGGCGGAGGAGGAGGAGGAGATAGAGGAGGGGGAGGAGGAGGAGCAGGAGGAGGAGGAGGAGCAGGAAGGGGGGAGGAGATGGGCAAGCTCCGTCGGAAGGATAGTCGCCCACGCCTCGATTGCTAGCCCACGCAGAGTAGAGGTGATGCTGGCAGAGGCGCTCCGCTCCATAGGGCGGACACATCCTCTCGGGCCGAGCCGCATAGGGGCAGCCCAGCTCGTCAGCCTGGCCGTGGAGGCGAGCGCCGCAGGGGCGCTGAAATGTCTGACTTGCGTGTGCAGTTTCGGCAACAAACAAAACGACCAACACAACGGCAGCCCGACCACTGTGCCAGAACAGAACGACCAACAAAACGGCAGCCCGGTGGCCAAAACGCATGGGCGCGACGGCCGGCGTTCAGAGCATGTGAAAACGTGTTCTGAAACGCGATCACAACAAAAAACCAAAGAAAAACGGAAACAGATGGGAAACAGTAGGAAAACACCGTTTAGGTCGAGCCCTGGGATAAAACCCTGCCCGATCGCCCCGCGCGCGCCCTGCATGCTTCACGGCACCTCGCCCTGCCTTCCGGCACTTGGGCGTCGTGCGGTGCGGAGCCCGCCCCGCCGATGCCTGGCTTTGCTGCTCGAGCTTCTACCGCCTGGTGGTACGGAGCTCGCCACGCCGATGTCTGGCTGTTGTGCTCGAACTTCACAGTGGGAAAAAAACACACACTGTGTGTGTGGGAAAAAACACACAGTGTGTGTGTATGTGTGTGTGTGTGTCTGTGTGTGTGTCTGTGTGTGTGTCTGTGTCTGTGTGTGTGTGTCTGTGTGTGTCTGTGTGTGTGTGTGTCTGTCTGTGTCTGTGTGTGTCTGTGTGTGTGTCTGTGTCTGTGTGTGTGTCTGTGTGTGTCTGTGTGTGTGTCTGTGTGTGTGTGTCTGTCTGTCTGTCTGTGTGTGTCTGTCTGTCTGTCTGTCTGTCTGTCTGTCTGTCTGTGTGTGTGTGTGTGTCTGTCTGTCTGTCTGTCTGTCTGTCTGTCTGTCTGTCTGTCTGTCTGTCTGTCTGTCTGTCTGTCTGTCTGTCTGTCTGTCTGTCTGTGTGTGTGTTTTCCCACACGTGTGTGTGTGTGTGCGTTTTTCCCACAGTGTGTGGTTTGTGTTCCCACAGTGTGTGTTCTTTCCCATCAACAGTTTGGAATGGTATGGTATGATTGTACAGCATCGCCTTCTATTTCGCCACTGACACCTACGTGGTTACGTTGCTGAGTGCCACTGCCACCGATGTGCACACCTTCTGATTCCGAGTCGTGTAGAACTCGCTCGTGAAGGATTTCATGAATGAGCCTTGATGCTAGTGGCCAGGCCGCGCCCGCGGGCAGGCGAGGCAGTGCTCGCATTTGCCACGCTGTGCCCGCGGGCGGAATAGCACTAGAGAAGGGATTGGATCTGAAAGATCCCCCCAAACCAGAGCAAATGTCAGAATACATTATAGTCAGAGACTGCTTGAACGGGCAGCAAGAGAGAAATTCCTGGTCCCCCTCCTGGTCCCCCTCCTCCTCCTCCTCCTCCTCCTCCCCTCCTCCTCCTCTCCTCCTCCTACTACAACTACTAACTACCACTACTACTACTACTAACACAACTACTATACTACTACTACTACTACTACACTACTACTACTACTACATACCCAGCTGCTGCTGCTCTCGCTGCTGCTGCGCTGCTGCTGTGCGGCAGCTGCTGCAGCTGCGCTAGCTGCTGACAACTACTACTACTACTCACTACTACTACTACTACTACTAACTACTACTACTACTACTACACTACTACTCACAACTACACTGCTAGCTGCTGCTGCTGCTCGCCTGCTGCTGACTGCTTCTAGCTGCTGCTGCTGATGCTGCTGATGCTACTGCTACTCCTACTAACTACTACTACTACAACTACTACAACAACTACTAACTACTACTAACTACTACTACTACTAAACACACTACGCTACGACTACACTACACCAACAACGGACCTACTACGACACTACGACTACTACTTACTATTACTACTACTACAACTTCTACTACACAACTACTCACTACTACTACATACACAACTACTACTACTACACTACTACTACTACAACTACTACTACTACTACCACTACCACTACCACTACCACTACCACTACCACTACCACTACCACTACCACTACCACTACCACTACCACTACCACTACTACTACTACTACCACTACCACTACCACTACCACTACCACTACCACTACCACTACCACTACCACTACCACTACCACTACCACTACCACTACCACTACCACTACTACTACTACTACTACTACTACTACTACTACTACTACTACTACTATTCCTCCTCCCCATCATCATCAGATCAGCACCATCATCATCAACAACCCCATCATCATAATCATCATCATCATCATCATCATCAGCATCATCATCATAATCATCATAGTCATCATAATCAGCATCAGCATCATCACCACCACCATCATCATCAGCATCATCAGAATCATCATCATCAGCATCATCATCATCAGCATCATCATCATCAGCATCATCATCAGCATCATCATCATCGTCGTCATCATCATCATCAGCATCATCATCAGCATCATCATCATCGTCGTCAGCATCAGCATCATCATCAGCAGCAGCATCATCAGCACCATCTCGTCGCCGTCGTCGTCGTCGTCGTGGTCGTCGTCATCGTCGTCTCCCTCGTCCTCCTCCTCCTCCTCATCGCCCTCGTCCTCCTCCTCCTCCTCATCATCATCACCACCACCATCATCATCAGCAGCAGCAGCCTCATCATCATCCCCCTCCCATCCCCCTCCCCCTCCCCCTCCCCCTCCTCGTCCTCCTCCTCCTCTTGTCTCTCCTCCTCCTCCTCCTCCTCCTCCTCCTCCTCCTCCTCCTCCTCCTCCTCATGTCGTCATCTGTCATTCACTCCGCAACCTCCCACTCAAGACCCGAGCCTGGATGCCGGCCCTTCGGAGGCCGCGCATGCCGTCGTCGAACTTCTGCTGGGAACCACCGTCGGCCTCAGGGCGCTCCACCGACTAACCTCCTCCCTCGCTGCGCTCCTCTTCCTCCCCCTCCTCCTCCTCCTCCTCCTCCTCCTCCTCCTCCTCCTCCTCCTCCTCTTCTACTCTACTCCTCCTCCTACTCCCACTCCTACTCCTACTCTTCCTCCTCCTCCACCTACGTTTCATCCTCCTCCTCCTCTTCCTCCTCCTCCTCCGCCTCCTCCTCCTCCGCCTCCTCCTCCGCCTCCGCCTCCGCCTCCCCCTCCTCCTCCTCCTCCTCCTCCTCCTCCTCCTCCTCCTCCTCCTCCTCCTCCTCCTCCTCCTACGCCTCCTCCTCGTCCTCCTTCTCCTCCGCCTTCTAATCCGCCTCCTCTTCTTATAGTTAGGAGTAGTATTATCAGTATGCGTTTATGAATAAAGGCTCAAGCGATTGCATTTGCCTGGCTACCCCCCTTGCTAGGTATAGATGAGCGCCAACGCTGCTGATGGCCCCTCCCTTGTGGCGGCGGCTGTGCAGGCGGCGATCCGGGAGGGCGCCCCGAGGCGCACTGTTGCTGCTGTGGCTGCGGCGGTTGCCGGCACTGTGATGTCTGCGACTGCTCGGCCCTCCGTGCCAGCGACTATGCACAAGGAGCGCGCTCAGGATGCACAGGGCAAAGCTGAAGACTCCGACGATCCTGTACAATTGTTGGAGAAACTTCGTGCTGTACGCCGTGCCCAACGACTCCGCAAGAAGGAGAAGCGCAGGACAGCCAAGCAGGTGGCTCAAGATGGTCCAGCCTCTCCTATTCTTCCTGATGGCCTTCAGCCTCTCGTTGAAGCCATTCCACCTCCAGCAGGTGCAGCCGGCCCAAGCGCAGACCTCGGGGGAAGTCTTGCTGCAGAGCCCGCTCCGGCACTTGCTCTACGTTCAGGCGCTGATTCACCCTCGCAGTCTGAAGGTACCCTCAATTCCCGGCACCAGCTCCCCGAGTCTATTGCTGGGAGTGCAATTGGCGCCAGTTCTTGCCACACACTGGGGCGAGAACCATCAGGGCCACCTGCACGTGCCAAAGATCCTGCACGATCTAGTGCACACCAACAGGGAGCTTCGTCAGGGAAGCCTTCCTTTGGACGTGTTGAGGGCGATGCTGGACCCAAATCTGGCCGGCCTCAGCCTTACCCGGGACGGAAGAAGTAGCCTGCCCCTCTTCCGTTCATGCGGCAGTCCCGACATTGCCGTTTCCATATGTGCTCAGGTATTCCAGTTGGGTGGCTGCATACTTCGAGCAACTCTGCTACGTGTACTTCAAGTTCCTGAGGCAGAGCAACTTCTGAATGGTGCCCTTTCTTACCTCTTCGAACACGTTTCAACGTGAGCCCATCTTAGGCCGCGATTGCTGCACCAGGCCTCTAAGCAGCCTGACTCGTTTGTTTTTCTTGTGGCTGGGCAGCCCCCAGTCTTTTCCATTTCATGCGTTTATGAATATCAGTGCTATTGATATGATTAGCCAAAGTTGAATACTGTTAGTGCTATGCGCTTTATCCGTAGTGAAACTATACTACGATTCGCCGTAGTAATATTAAGATGATTCGTAGTGGTCGTATGACTATTGTGTGAACCATGCGTACTCGCAATATTAAACAAAGTATTAGTATTAGTAGTCTTCGTAGTAATAGTATAAGTATAACTATCAGTGTATGCAGATGTGCTAATAGTATCATTATATTTGATATGATTATTATCACTGGGATACGTGTTATTATTGTTGCTGTTAGTAGTAGTAGTACAAGATTGGTTCGTAATAAAAGTAGTATTACCACTACTGTTATTAATGGTGTTACTGCCATTGTCCTCTGTATTCGTATTACTAGTATGTTTAGTAGTGGTAGTACCAGCAATACTAATATCGTGACCGTGTTGCTGCAATTTTATTTGACTTGGAAACTCACGGATTGCATGATGAAGCGACAGCTCAACACCACACAACAAATAATGAACATAATGATCATCAACACGCAGCGACGCCGAAAGAACCACCACGACGAGCACACTGCACAAGCTACAACCACTTCGCCAGACCATTCCTCGGACAGCACTTCCGCCACATCAGCGGCTCCTACTTCAAATGCCACCAACTCATCGACCACCACGTCACCTGACGATGACGTTGGCAACAACCCTGACGAACCCCAACTCCCCGAGGCGGTCGATCTGACCAACCTGATCGCTGACGACCTGACTGAACCGTGGCTCGACTTCACCCGCCACGCAGAGCGAGTTACTTGATGGACCGACACGACATGGAGCCTTGGGTCACGACGCAGCGGCGACTTCTGTGGAGACAGGCCCACACAAAAGCCCGTCACAGCGCCACCCGATGGACTCAACAAGTTGCTCACTGGCATCCTGGTCTCGATACGAGGCAACGAGGACAGCGCCAACAAGGTCGACAACCGAAACGGTAGGAGGACGAACTACACGACTACCTCCGACAGCAGATTACGACCACGCGGACGAACGACGGTTTGAGTGACGCCATGAATGATGCTACGTGGTTCCACGTCGCCTCCGACACAACCATCTGGATGAGCATGGAGCCCGACTTCATCTCATCGACGGGAGCCCAACACCCGAACAAGACGGCCAAGACACATGCCAACACGACACCAACCGACACCGACGCCGGAACCAACTCCAGCAGGGAAGCACGGTAAAGCTGTCTGGCCGTTGCTTTCCCCAGCACGTGTACGCATAGAGGTTACCGACCTCCACGCTCTGGCCCTCGGAGGCAAGGACCATGCCCTGATGAGAGTGCGAATGCGAATGCGAATGCAAATCATTTTATCCGACTCTACGTAATAGTAATAGTAATCGTCTCATGCACCACTATTACTAGCATTCGAAGTATTATTGTCATTCGTGTGATTCGTATTCTTATTATTCGTATTAGTAGCATCATCACAATTAGTATTACTAGTACTATAAGTATTCGTACTACCAGTGTTGCTCGTATTATGATTACTCCTAGTATGATTAGTGTTCGCATGTTTGGTATTATTGTTGCTAGTCTTATTGTTGTGGTTATTCCTATTATTCGTCTGCTTCGTCTTCTGATTATTCCTCCTCATCCTCCTCATCATCCCCCCTTCTCCATCCGTTGTCCTTACAAGTAACTCCGCCCTGTCGCACCAAGAGACGTGTGGCTAGGGCGGGCCGAGGGTTTCGACTGAGACTTCCGTACCACGAACTGTGCAACCATTACGCAGACTACAGGTGGGGTGACTATGGGGCTCTGACCTTGGCGCCGCGCACACTGGTTTGAAAGGCTTGCAATAGCCACAAGGATCGAGGATGGATCGCTTTCAAAATGGAGCCCTCGCCTGAGCACCACCGCGCACATTCGTCTCAGGAGTTCTTGCACAATTGTAGAGATGCTGTGCGGTGCCTTTTTCAAAATGGGGCGCTCACCACAGCGCCGCGCACGTTCGCCTTGTTCGTTTGCAGACTCCACAAGGGTGGAGGACGGCTCCTCTTCAAAACTGGGGTCCTCGATCCATGCTGCCCAGCATCGGAAGACGAGACGCTTGACGCTTGACTACATGTAGCAATTGCACACATGGATGGCGGCTTGTCAGAATGGGGCGCTCGCTTGAGGCGTCCATGACATGACTGGCCAGAGGAGCCATCCCAGGAAATTAGCGGGGCCAACGACCTGGGGCCCTCCACGCTCGGTACTGTGTCGCAAGAGTGCCCACGTTTCCTCTTCGGTGACGCGAGCGATGGCAAGAACTCCCGCGACAATAGGCTCCGAAGGGTCGGCCTTAGGGTCGCCGCCATCGATTCCTTCTCCCCGTTTCGGGTTTCCGCCTCGCCCCGTGGCCCTCTGGTGGCGCCCAAGCAGACGGCCCCCAGAGGGTGAACTCGCAGCTCACATTCTCACGGCTCGTCACAGCCGTAGGCTTCCAGTCTTTGTGACTGGCCACGAGTCGGTCAGCGCAGGGTGGCATCAGCGGGGGCACCTCCACAGGCCAGGTGCCGATCGGGAGGTGTGGAACGAGCTGCGGCACCTTGCTGCCGACAAGGACTTGTCGGACACCGTTGTTCTCCAGGTCCCGTCCCACCTCTGTGCGCCCAGGCCGCCCAGGGCCCACATCCCCTCTGGATGGTTCTCGGGAACACGGCTGAGTAGAAGCTGGAGGGGGACTGGCGGCTGAGGAAGCTCGTCTCCCGTGAGCGGTCAGGACCAAGATTGCGCCTGCCGAGCCCAAAGCCAACCTCGTCAAGAAACGTTTGCGTCGGGCCAACTACTATGCGATCGCTGCTGAAAAACGGAAGCCCGTGCAAAAAAGAGTGCGCCATTCTCCGCCCTCCCCTGCTGCGATTGCCCCTTTCGCGTCGACACACCAGCTATCGGGCGACGGGCGCTCTTGTCGGCGACGCACAGATAATGCCGCAAAATACACCCTCATCAGGTGGAGGGCGAGCATGTGTCAGGATCTCACTCCTCAGCATCTGTCACGTCTCCTGAGATTGCCGAGGCGTCAGTCTACAAAGATAGGCAGTGATTGTTTGCACACCCGAGGCACCGCATGCTGTACAGTAAGATCCATATAAAAGTATTGCAGCACGGTTGGTTGTATGTGAGCGTGCAGCTTCGGGCTTTGGGGTCCGAGTGTCTGGCCTCCACCACACCCGTGCGTGAATCGTACACCAGTCGTATGCACGATGACAAGTGGCCCAAAACTTACCCCCAACCAAGCCGATCACATAGCTCAGGCCAGCGCTTTGGGTCACGTTTCATCGGTCCGCTATTGGTCTATTACATTCAATTCCTCCGCTCCTCCTCCTCCACCTCCACCTCCACCTCCACCTCCTCCTCCTCCTCCTCCTCCTCCTCCTCCTCCTCCTCCTCCTCCTCCTCCTCCTCCTCCCACGCTCCTCCTCCCTCCTCCAGATCACGTATGCCTTGTCCATGTCGTGACGACTTCGGCGTTGATCTCTGGATGGTTCGACCTCGAAGGATCTCGGTTTTCTGACAACCCGAATCGCTCGATGTCGGCCGACTTCTGGGCCACTCGCGGCTCTCACCCTTGAACGCCAGCGGTGGGGTGGCCGCCGCGTCGACACGACACGAACCTGCCGTATGACCTCCCCTCCCCCCGACCACCGTCCTGCCCCCTGCAACCCCTCCGACACTGATGGGGGGCAGGGGGAGGAGCAGGGGGAGGCGGATGAGGAGGAGGCGGAGGAAAATGAGGATGGCGGAGAATGACGCGCAAGGGGAGGAGGGGATGGCGCAGGGAGGAGGAAGAGGAGGAGGTGGTGGTCACGGTGGCGGATGCGGAGAAGAACGAGGACAAATATGACGAGCATGAAGGCGAACACGGGGAGATCTATTGATTTGGACTCGGGTGGCAGAAACGCCCCCACTCTAATCGGCAGAATGGCCCGAAAACAACCTGGCCGGAGTGCGAAGTGAGGCAAAGCTTGCAGCGAGTCCACTCTGCGAAAACAGCTGGGCCGGCAGGGAATGCCTGACCCCACTCGGGTACGTATCCCGCCCGCCCCGTAGCTCACAACGCCGAATAGAGGAGCGGGAGGATGAGAACAGGGGGGAGTCGGAAGGGGAGGAGGGGAAGGATGCGGATGAGGATGGGACTGGGCAAGAATTCCCCGAGAGCCCTGCCGAGCATACGTGCCGAGCGCTGCCGAGTATACCCGGCAAACGGCATATGGGTGGAACGGCGAAAACCACAAACAAAGGTAAATGAGAAGGAGGAGGGGAAGAAGGGAAGGATCTGGCAGCCAGCACAAGGGGACGACGCCCAACAGCGGATATTGCACAAAGCCGACAGCGGCCGCTGTTGGGCAAGCAACTATTGGCCTCAGACGGGCAACAACCATGGCGACGGTGACACCGCCTTCCTCAACATGGACCGGGAACGCTGTCGGTCTTTGTCCCCATCCTTTCCGTTTGGAGAGGGCCAGGGGGGTTGGAGGCGGCCATTAGGTCTGAACTGATTGAGATCCCAGAGAATTGACAAGGACGGCGTTGAAACCATCCGTCACGGGACCCCTCCCAAGGTCCATTTGGTGACGATTTTCAAACTAGATCCACTTTTGACGGCCCCGGGACCCGGAAGCAACCCGCAGCGGCCGAACAAAAACAATCATCGAACCCAGAACCCCCTCGTTTTGCTGGCCGGAAACTGTATTGGGGCGGGTTGCCAGCGCCGCTCATGGTGGCCACATGGAGTTCGATCAATACAGCGTGACAGTGCCGAGTGAGGCTACGGAGGGCATGTATACCCAGATCCTCGGCAATTGCGCGTCGGCACCTGGTGGCGCGGGGGCGGCGGTTTGTGCACTGAGGCAGCCCAACCAGCCGCGCCCCTGGGCTTGTCCCAAGGAGAATGCATTGCTAACTCGTGTCCGCTGGTGGCGTTGGTGTTGCTGCGGAAGCCGTCGGTGCTGTGGGTGCGGTTGGTGTTGGCTCCATCGTTGCTGCCGAACGACCTGTTAACGTAGCCGCAGGAACCGATGGCTTAGCAGAGAAACGCACGTGGGCCATGAGGCCAGCCATCTCTTGTCATAGTCGTCGTAATTCGGCGTCGCGTGGACGGCGCTGTCCCAGCCCATCGTGACCACTTGCTGTGGCCAATCTGCGGCCACGAGCCGTCGGACGACGAACTTGGAGTGGCGGCTGATGCTGCCACTGGCCGCTGCGCTGCTGATGCCGGTGTTGGCCGGCCGCCATTCCAGGGATCGGCGCTCTGCATGGGGTCACTCTCACCGGGTCACTCTCACTGCTCAGCTAAATGACCCTCCAAAGTGCGTCAGGTGGAGTGGATGGTGGCGGTGGCGCACAGTCGTTGAGGAAGAAAGCGCGCCCTGGGTTGCGGCGCTGGCGCAGTCGCGCACGAAGCTTTCTTCTGACTCACACTCCACTCGTGGCATGTGAGACGCACCCCGTCAAGACCCAGCGGGTTGCCTTGTCGGCCCGAACCCATGCCGCCGGTCCTGAATGACCCTTTCCCTTTACCTTTGTCCTTCCCGAAACCCGCGAACGTCTCTCGGAGGTCACTCTCGGACTCGTCGGCCACGAAGGCGCGGTTGCCTTCACCGTGGCCCTTGTCGTTCCGTTTGGTGACTCTCCAGACGTGGCGCGTGGGCTTGCGGTTGTTGAAGCGTCACCAGCGCGCTTTCGCGCCCGTGTGAACCCAGAATAAGTGCGCGCGCCACGCTGTTCCACGGGAGCGTCGCGCAGTTCGGGGCCGTCGGAGGCGATTCCTCCGTCGCCGAATTCACTGACGGTGTCGGCGTCGGTACCTGAGTCGACGCCCGCTGCTGGAATGCCTCCTGCGCTGGTGGAGTTGGCGCAGGAGGACTCGGCCCCAGCGCAGCTGGACCGAGGCCGCCCCAGCTCCCAGCTCGATCCGGCTGCAGCGCTATAGACACTCCGAACCTGATCTTAGGCGGGCGCACCCGCTAGGAAAGACTGCTGTTGGGCCGAGTGGACCGCTGAGGCGAGATTGCCGGGCGAGGCCTCGATCACGCCCCCATCGAGTCGCAGTTGCCCAATTCATTATGCGCGTGATGTGTGCTGCGTCGGTCGGGTCGGCCATCTATTTTCGTAGCGCCGAAACAGATTGGTCATATGGATGTTTGACATTCGGACCGCGAGCGAGAGGTAGCTCAGACCCTCGTAGCCGATAATGAGTTGGCCAGCTTTATGTGCGCGGTTGCGGAGGATGTCAAAGCGCGAGAAGACGTCATCGAGGCGTGCGGATTGCTGAAGTTCATAAGTGCTGATACTGGCGACGCGCGCTCCTCCTCGCCCAGTTGGCCCCATCGTTCGGTGGCGCTGGGTCGCCGTTGATGTGCCCTCCTGGGATCAGGACAGCCAGCGGCCACTCATCCAAGAACTCACGCGCCATGCCTGTGAGTCGTGACGATACGAAGGCTGCCTGGCGAAACACATTCGGGTCAGAGTTCGCCACTGGCCAGATCATCACCTCCCCATCGCGGGAAAGGCACTCGAGATTGTTGCTCGGGACCCCAAGTGCGGAGGCGTCGCGCGTTGCCGCAGCCGCCGCCGCCTGCGTCCGTGAAGGTTAGGCAGCTGGCCACGGCAAGCATGCCTACTCCGATGGCCTTCCATCCGGAGTGGAAGTCCCTCCGTAGGTCTAGGAGGTACTGGCAGCCGGGAGGCCAACGGCGGGGCTTCTCTGACCATAAGACCCAGCGCCGCCGTGGGATTCTTCAGTGGATACGTGCCTCCTCGTCAGCGTATTGGGCGCAGTCCTCCGTCGCGTCGTTGCGGCGCTCACGGCACCCAGGTCGTCCCAAAACGTAATTGTGGGAGTGCCCTTCGTGCGTGGGGTCGTCACTGCACGGAATGCCACCAACAGCACGGTCGTCAAATTACATGGGTGCGCGTCGGGATCTCGGCCTGCCTGGCGATTGGTCACGTTCCAAGGGACCGAAGACAGATAATCCCAGGTCTGTTTCGCTGTCCCTTGGAGCATCGACGACATAGTCGCCGTGGACTTCCCACCTTCCTGAGGCTCTTCCCAGGGCTCTCGTCACATAGCTGCGAATACTTCGGGGCCCTTGGCTTTGGCCACTGATGCGAACGTTGCACAAATCAACTGTTCATTACGGACGGTTGGCAGATCCACGGGCGGTCCAGACATAGTCTGAAGACGCACCGGGTAGAGAGCAGGCGGGGGCGGCAGGGCGCCGCGGTCCTTGGTGGTCGATGTGGTTGTCCTCGTGAAGGTTGTAATCATATGGGCGCGGCGCACCCGTCGCGAAGACCGGGCAGATCGCCGCGAATACGGTCCAGCGCGCTGGCGTACTGGATGTGCGGACACGGGGAGATGTGGAAGTCCTGGTCGTCGAGACTGGACGAGAGGAGTGTGCCACGCGGGCCATGGCGGAGGCGTGGAAGGAAGCCGAAGCTCCGCGACCAACCAAATAATGCGAAGATGGATGAAAACGAATGCTTTCAATGAGCGGTGAATCAGACGGGTGGTATGAGACGCGTGTCGGACTGGCACAGGGGGGGCTAGCCTTGAGACAAACAGCCACAAGGAAACCAAGCACGGAACTGCACGGGCCTTGCCATGAGCGGGCGCCTGCGGAGGAGAGAGCGGGGAGGAGAGAGAAGGCAGGAGAGATGGGTCGGAAGCCGGGCAAGGGCTGCTGAATCCGTGGCTGCTAAAATCGACCTCTGGGAAGTTGTCTTCGTCCTTCCGGGAGGAAGCCCGTTGACTGTTTCGCGTGCCGCGCCTCATTCCGGGAAGCTGTTGTTGCCTTCCGGGAGGGCCGTTTTGGCAGCCCTGGCCCAGCTTTCGAGTGGAGGGCGGAGCGAGCAGCAGGGGGGGAGAGGGGGGCCGAGGGAGGCCGGGGGGGAGGCAGGAGACGGCGAGCACACGGGGAAGCGGGCAGCCCGGGCGCCACGCCCCGATCTGCCCGGGGTTGCAGCGCACGATGATGAAGTCGAAGCCCTTGCACACATTCATGAACTCGTTGTGCTCCTGCGCGGGGGGGGCGGCCGAAGGACAGGGAAAGGAGGAGGAGAAGGGGGAGGAGGAGGAGGAGGACGAAGACGAGGACGAGGACGAGGACGAGGAGGAGGAGGAGGAGGAGGAGGAGGAGGGGGGGGAGGGGGAGGGGGAGGAGAAAGGGGCAACGGCTGGACATGCTGTGCTGCCCGTGGAGGACACCTTCGGGGAACGCGCAGTCACACAAGCATAAGCTGTCGAAGGTCTGCGCGGAAATCTCGGATCGGCGCTGAAGCTCCTGGCGGAGCCTCCGGCGCCGCTCCTGGCGCGCGCCGCGCGCCAGGGACAGGGCTCCAGCGCCGATCCAAGAGATCCGCCCAGACCTCCGAAAGCTTACGTTATGCAATTACTAGACACGTTCACGCGCGTTCCACGCGCGCTCTGTATCTAGGTAGCTCCAGGCGTTGGAAATCCATACTGGATCGCGTTTGACTCCTCACTCTCCAGCCACTCTGTTCAACGTACTTGAACTCTTGAGGCTGACATTTCCCGTCCTGCTTCTGTTTGTCTTCCCCTGTCTGCTGTTGCTTCCTCAACCCTCGTCCAGGCAGGCGAGAGGGTGCATAAAGAGAGAAACGAGTGAAGGCAAGCGGAGAAATGAGGTAGCCAGAAGGCAGGACGGAGGAGACGGGAAGATGGAGGACCAGAATGCATGACAGGTAGGCCGATAGGAAGAGGATGCGAGGGGAAGAAGGCGAGAAATGTAGGAGTCAGGACGAAGGAGGAACGGAGGAATTGACACACCGACTGGAGGGGGAGTGCTGCTGAAATTCGACACATCCTCTGGATTTTCTCCTCCTCCTGACACTCCTTCTCCTTCTGCTCTTAATTCCGCTGCATCCTCCAATCTCTCATCTTCTCCTCCGCGTGTGTCTTTCCGAGAATCCTCGGCCCAGTCGGCAGCGTGCCTGTGGTCTGGGTCAAGTCTCTTGGGTGTTCGCTGGGATGTCGCGTAAGGGTCACTGGGGGCGCTTTGGAGGCAATTTTGAAGCCTATTGGGCGCTGTGTTGGAGCCTCTTGGGGAGTCTTTTTTTTCAGATTCGAGCGCGCAGCAACGAGGGCTCGAGCCGGCCTTGGCCAGCTCACACGAGCGGGTTGAAACGCTCGCGGCCCCAAAGAGAGGACGGGGAGGAGGGGAAAAGAATGCCAGCAAAGGCTGATCCCGCAGTCCCCGTAAGGATGGCCTACCCAACCGACGGAACCGCCGATGACAGTGGCCGCTGCTGGGACCTGGGACCAGCGCTCGAAATGCTTTCTGAATCAGATGTCATCAGGCGAAGCTTGCCTGTGCGACCGAGAAGGCAGAATCGCTCTGGCCATTAGGGGCTACAGGGTCAATGAGTGACGCATGGTGAGCACACATCTCCGGAGGCATGGCCGCCTTCGTGTGATCATCTTCTCCTAGCAACCCTCCGACTGCAAACCCAGAATGCCCCAGATGCTTGACATAAAAATTCAGATACTGGAAGCCGTGGAGGGTGTGCCCATGGGCAACTTTCAGCTCAACCTTCCCTAACTGCAACCACTGCGGATGCTCGTTATGGACATCCTGAGCTTGGAACTGGAGACGATCGGTCCCTGTCATCTCTACCCACTCCCCGGTGATGTTCAGCTCTTGGAAATACATGTCTGCGCATGATCCACCCAATCGGCGCGCATCGGCCTCCACGAGAAGCAATGCGTCTGCGGCGCTCTTTCCACGAGGGATGCGTATCAAGACATGCTTGCCTGGCTTCATCAAGTCGAACCGCTCCCCATGAACGTTCTGAAGATGGGGGTCGCCAGTGGCAGACACGCCTCCGGCTCCGCCCGCCATGGGAGCTCCAAGAGGAAACGTCGGCTGAGGCGTTGGCCAGCCTGGAGGATACGATGGGCTGGGCGTCGGGCTGGGCGTCGGGCTGGGCGTCGGGAAGGGCGTCGGGAAGGGCGTCGGGAAGGGTGTGGGGGAGAGTGAAGGGTAGGGTGTAGGGTAGGGCGTCGGGGAGGGTGTAGGGTAGGGCGTCGGGTAGGGTGTCGGGTAGGCCGTTGGGGCTACTGTCGGAGCTGGCGTCGGAGCTGCCGTTGGAGCTGGCGTCGGGGACGGGGTTGCCGCAGTAGCACAGGAACTAGCACTGCCGCCAGAGCCATAGCATCGGACTTGCACTCCTATATGATGTCCTGCTTTGCACCATCCATTTACATAGTCGAGATTCCCCCAAGCATTCCCTCCAGCTGTGCAGGCCGTGAGAGGTTGGTCGTGATGGCAATTACCTACGGGCATTGAATCAGTGCCATAAGTGGACCACGTTGCCAGGCGTGAGCCCCATGAGAATCCCAGCATCTGACAAAACGTGGATGCCCCATAATCGCTGTCCCAAAAGTAGTGGCCGCAAATAGGATACCAAGTGCTCGAGAACCGGATCCATGGATAGAACGGAACACCTTGAGACACTGAGCCCAGCGTTGTACCACCAGAGTCCGCAGCCATGACTTCCCCATCAGAGCACGCCGCATCCGTCGGAGCTGGTGTCGGAGCTGGCGTCGGAGCTGCCGTTGGAGCTGGCGTCGGGGACGGGGTTGCCGTGAGGCTGGCTGCCACCATGATGCGGACACGTCCGCCGCTTCCGTGAGGTTGTTGATGAGAACTGTCCTCGCACCACGAATCTCCGGAGTTGCGGACGCAACCGCAATTACCATCCCCGCCATGATCACCTGACGCCCAATTGAAATATTTGCTGTTGCACTCGGAGCGAGAGGCAACTTCGGCTGCGCAGTTCGCGCCACCATCATACGGATTATAGATGCCCAGCCACGTATTAACATTACATTGGTGATCCAATAGGAGCACACTGGGCGCAGCCTGATGTGCGGTCGTCGGAGCTGTGTTGCTCTTGTCCACCGCTGTTCCAAACTGTATCATGCTGGAATCGGCGGGGGCCGCACCCAGGCCAGCGGCCCCGCGCGCCCCGACAAGACTGGCAATCAATAAGAGACGGGCCATCTGCGGGACAGGTGATCCGACCATAAGTTGTAGGATGTACGCAGAAAGTGCGGGTGTGCTTCAGATTGCGAAGGCCCTGCTGGAGCCAAACAGTCTTGAGCCAAGAAGAAGAGAGCCTCTTGGGGCGTCCTGGGAGGCTCGTGGGGGCCTCTCAGGGCCTTGCATGGGGCTCCACGGAGCTTCTTGGGGCGGAAAACTCAGCTTGTTGGTTCGGGCTGCCGTTCTTGGGTTACTTTGGGGGCCGTCTTTGGTTCTCTGGGGCTCTCTTGAGCGACTCTTGGGCCGTCCTGAGGCTCTCCTGGGCTGTCTTGGGGCGTTCTTGGGGCCCTCTTAGGCTGTCTTGGGGCGGTCTTGGGGGCTCCATGGGCCATCTGTCACGCCGCGAAGACAAACAAGCCGTATGGATTAAAAGTGCATGTTCCCCTAAAGGAATAAAACACATTGGGCGTGAGCGCTCTCGGGAGTGTTCTTGGAGGCCTCTCGGTGCGCCTTGGGCGGTCTCCACGTACATCATGGGGCCATCCTGGGCGTCTTAGAGCGATGTGTCAACGATTCAGATCCCTGTTGGGCCACCGCGGTGGCCTTTGGGCCCCTCCTGGCGCGTCGTGGAAGGGCCCAGGTGCCCTGCCACTGGCATGGAGATCCAAGGTTTGCACTTAAGTCCATCTGCCCTGGACCCCAGGTGTGTGCGTGCATATATATATATATATATATATATATATATATATATATACATAGTACCCTAGAAGCATGCGCGCGCTTCGCGCGCTTGGGTTCCAGCCGACTGCGCAGTCGTTGTCTGTAGACCTTGAGCTAATCCGCGAGCCCCAAGGTACCAAAGGAGAAATTCCCCAGGCAAGGACCGACCTTGGCGCGACGAGGTGTTGGTCCTTCTGGGGCATAACTTCGGGTTCGGTGGGCGGTCGCGGAGCCGTGCGAGACTCACGCGCGACGGGTCGGAAGGCTTTCAATGTTTCCCAGGACACGCAAGTGGCGTGGTGCGACGGTGGCCGAAGGGGGCCCCTGAAGCTCAGGGCCGCCAGGCCGCCGCCACGTCAGGCCGCCCTCGCGGCCGCCGCCGCCGCAGCCGCCGCAGCCGTCGTGATGGTCGTCGCGGTGATCGTCGTAATGATCGTGGTGATGGTGGTGATCGTCGTCTGCGGACGTGATCTGACGATTGCACGTTCTGGGGCGCATTGTGCTTTTCTCGGGCCCCCGGAGGCCTCCGCACTCTGGAGATCTGTCGAGGCCGTCGGCAATCGTCGATCGTTCGTCGTAGTTTTGGTCGTTGTCAGCCTTCTGGAGGCCGCCAGGGATCCTCGTCGTCACTGCCGTCGTCGCCGTGGTCGTCGTGGTTGTGGTCGTGGCGGTCGGTGTCGCCGCCAACGCCGTCGCACTCGTCTACCAGCGAGGGGGAAGAATGAGGGATCCAAGGTCGAGGATCGAGGCTTGTAAATTATGTTGGGCCTTCCTGGGCATCGCGGGATCGCTGTCGTCGCCGCGGTCGCCCAGGGCCCTGAGCCTCCACCAGCGCTCGTCCAGCGTGCAGGCTCTGGCCGCCGCCGCCGCAGCATCCGCGGCCGCGTCGTCGTCGCTGATGTTGCACATTGCTGTGCAAATTTGAATGTGGTTGGCCTTTCCATGGCCTCCCGTGCCAGAACCCGGGGTAAACCCTGAGACCTCGGGGGGCCTTCGGGGGTCGTCGTCGTCCTCCTCGTCGTCCTCGACACTTATCATCATCCTCTTGCTCCTGCGGTGTGATTCGGGACATCCACGCGGATGGTCACGGAGAATCTTCCAGATATCGGTCCGAGAGGGTTTGAGGAGACCAGCGGCCCGAGCGAGCGAGCGCGGAGGTGAGGAGGGAGGGCGGGGGGGAAAGGGGAGCAGCGGGACGAGTGTGGGAGAGGAGGGAAAGAGATTGCGATTGCGATTGCGCTGAATGCGGTGACCAAGGGAGGAGGAAAAGAGGAGGAGGAAAAGGAGGAAGAGATGGCTGCATCTCTCTCCGCACCCCGTCTTCTTAATGTTCCGTCTTCCGCTTTGATTTTCCGAGGCGGGGATGTATCCATAACCGCCGCGGGGGCCTCGGCAGGCAGTGGATGTGGATCTACAGTCGGCTCCTGCGTCGTGATCATCTCCCGTAAACCCCGATTACCAGAGAACTCCAGTCATGAGGCAGTTCATCGAGCTCAGAGCAAGGATGATGTTTCTCCGCGGGCGTGAGACGAGGTGAGTATTTTTCTGATTTTGAAATGGTGTCTCTCCCAGGATCAGACAGGGCGTCCTGGAAATGGTGCGATCCGACGGAACCCACCAGCAACGCAATGCAAACACGTAGCGCCACCACCACACCAGCCGTCTGGAACCCTTAAAACGACGCGAAGATCGGGACAAAATCGGATCGGGATAACTCGAAATCTCTGAGGATCGGCGGGTTTGGATGATGTATTGGGCGCCGCGGCCGCTCCAAAGCGCTCCGGAACGCTCTGAGAGCGCTCCGGAACGCTCTGGAGCGATTTATCCAGATCCTAGCCCTGTTTTACCCTCCCCTCCCCTCCCGAAGCGTCAACCAAAGACGACGCCAGAGCCATATACATTTGGAGCTCCGCGCGTCGTTCCCGGATCGGCCCGGAGCGCCGAGCGTGCCAGGGGCTGCGGCAGAGGCGCCGCCAAGGGGGCCCCGCGCCGAGGCAAGGAAGCCCTGTTTTAACCCTGGCCCCGGAAGGCGACGGCTGCCAGGTTCCCCGGCCTCGCCAGCCGCTCGCTCGGGGGAAGCGCAGGTCCCCCCCGTCGCCGCCGACGGGCAGGGCGGCGGAGGCCGAGGCGGAGCCGGCGGCGGCCGTGCGCCGCGGCGGCGCGAGCACGGGAGGACGCGTGCGGGCGCGCTCGAACCGAGACGGCCACTGGGCTCCCTCCTCCTCCTCGTCGTCCTCGCTCGAGGCTCCCTCCTCCTCCTCCTCCTCCTCCTCCTCCTCCTCCTTCTCCCTCCTCCTCCTCCTCCCCCCGCTCGAGGCTCCCTCCTCCTCGTCCTCGCCGTCGTGCAGCCCGGCACGGAGCACGGAGGCACCCGCGGGAGCGGCGCCTGGGCGCCTGGGGAGGTGGGAAGCTCTGGCAGCCGGCGCCGGCTCCGAGAAGGCCCCGCGGCGCGAAGGCAGGAGCACGCGGCCGCCGCCAAGGGGACGAGGCCTGGGGCGACAGCAAGGCCGGGGAGCCCACAGAAGACGTATAAACGCCCGACCACGCACAGGAATACGGCCCCCCCTTCCGCGGGGCCAGCCTCCTGACACAGACGCCCGTGCAGTGCGTACTTTCGAAGCGAGCGTGGAGCTTCACGTACGCGTACGTCCTTCTCTCGCTCGTGACAGGGCGGGAGGGGGAGCAAGCGGAAGCAGGCACAGGCGGCACGCAGCCCACACATCACTCTGATGACGACGCCGCACGCGCCGCCCTACGCCTCCCGCATATCTCTGAGGTCGGGGATCCTGGCACCCCCTCGACCACCGCGTGGGGAGCGGGGTGCGAGACGTGGCGGAGCAGAGCACCACCCCCGCAACCCCATAGGCAGGTGGCCCGCACCCCAAAGCCTCGCACACTCAGTAGGCCGGAGTGGCCCTGGCCCCACACGCCTTGAACCTGGTCGGGCACGAATCGTCATCACCTCCGTAATCGAAATCATCGTCGCCGGCAGCAGAATAATCATCATCACAACCACAACCACCACCATCACCACCACCACCACCACCACCACCATCATCATCATCATCATCATCATCATCATCATCATCATCATCATCATCATCAGCAGCAGCAGCAGCAGCAGCAGCATCAGCATCATCATCATCATCAGCAGCAGCAGCAGCAGCATCAGCATGAGCATCAGCATTATCATCATCATCACCACCACCACCATCATCATCATCATCATCATCATCATCATCATCATCATCAGTCGCAGTATCATGACATTCCTCCTCATCATCATAATCATCTTAATCAGCATCATCAGCATCATTATGATCAGTATCATCATCCGCATCAGCATCATCATCAGCAGCAGCACCAGCATCAGAATCATCATCATCAGCATCAGCAGCATCATCATCAGTATCATCATCATTAGCAGCACCATCAGCATCATCATCAACATCACCATCATCATCAGCAGCATCATCATCATCCGCATCATCATCATGAGGATCAGCATCAGCATCAGCATCAGCATCAGCATCAGCATCAGCATCGTCATCAATACAAGCATCATCAGAATCGTCATCATCGCCATCATCATCATCACAATCAGCATCATCAGCAGCAGAATCATCGTCATCAACATCATCAACATTATCATCATGATCAGCATCAGAATCATCATCATCCGCATCATCAGCAGCATCGTCAGCATCATTATCATCATAATCATCAGCATCATCATGATCACCATCATCATCGTCAACATCATCATCAGCATCATCAGCATCACCATGATCATCAATCATCATCATACGCATCATCATATGCATCATCATCATCATCACCAGCAGCATCATCATCATCGTCATCATCATCATCAGTATAAGCAGCATCAACATCGTCAGCATCATCAGCGTCAGCATCTACATCAGCATCAGCAGCATAATCATCACCACCAATCATCATGATCATCAGCACCATCATCATCGCCATCAGGATCATCATCATCAGCAGCAGCATCAGCATCACCATCATCATCATCCTGCTCCTCATCCACGTTCTCCTCCTCGCCATCATCATCATCATCATCATCAGCATCATCATGTTCATCGTCATCATCGTCATCAGCATCACTATCATCCGTACCGTCGTCGTCATCATCATCATCATTTTCCTCATCAACCTCCTTCTCCTGCTCGTCATCATCGTCATCATCATCAGCATCATCATCATCAGCATCAGTATCATCACATTCATCATCATGATCAGCATCAGCATCAGCATCATCCTCATCATCGTCAGCATCATCATCATCAGCATCATCAGCAGCATCAGCATCAGCATGATCAAAAATTATCATCATCAGCGTCATCATCATTATGAGCAGCATCAGCAACATCAGCGTCAGCTTCACCATCATCCTGCTCCTCACCGACGTTCTCCTCCTCGACATCGTCATCGTCATCGTCATCGTCATCATCATCATCGTCATCATCATCATCATTACCATCATCCTTACCGTCGTCATCATCATCACCATCATCATCATCCTCATCATCATCATCATCATCATCATCATCATCATCATCATCATCATCATCATCATCCGTTTCCCTTCTCCTCCTCCTCGTCATGATCATCAGCATCATCAGCATCAGCATCATCATCAGTCATCATCATGGCCATCATCAGCAGCAGCATCACCATTACCACTACGCTCATCATCATTTCAATCATTCCTCCTGCCCCTGCTCCCGTGCTCGAGTTCCCGCCCTCGCCCACGACACCACCCTCGCCACCCCTCGAGGCAGCCACCTCCCGCGCATGCCAGCGGGGTGGCCCTCGCGGGCGCAGTCACGTCCTGTCTGAGGCTGTGGATCGGACGGCAGCTGACGCAGGCGAGAAGAATGGTGAAGATAAACGAAATACAATAAACTGCACATGCATCAGCTTTCGGAGCTTCGCGCGGATTCCTTGCCTCGGCGCGGGGCCCCCCGGCGGCGCCTCTGCCGCAGCCTCCGGCACGCTCCGCGTTCCAGGCCGATCCGGGAACGCCGCGCGGAGCCCCAAATGTATATGGCTCTGGCGTCGTTGTTGGTTGACTCTTCGGGGGGAGAGGGAAGGGTAAAACAGGGCTAGGATCGGGATAAATCGCTCCAGAGCGTTCCGGAGCGCTCTCAGAGCGTTCCGGAACGCTCTGGAGCGGCCGCGGCGCCCAATACATCCTCCAAACCCGCCGATCCTCAGAGATTTCGAGTTATCCCGATCCGATTTTGTCCCGATCTTCGCGTCGTTTTAAAGGGGGCGGCGAATCCTGCCAGACGTAGTGGATCAGCTGGCAGCTCATGCCGGCCTTGATCATTCCGTTGGCGAACGGGATCGAGTCGTACCTCCCATGCCCCCGCTGTCCGCAGTAGCCATCGCGACTCGCAGAGACAACAAACTGGTTGTCAACCTGTTTGCTCCACACACACACAAATATACACATACACTTCACTGCCCTATGCACCACCACTCTACTCCTTCCGTTCCTACCTCCGTCCGACGCTTAAGCTCGTCTTTCTCTCACCTTTCCTATCCCTCATAGCCTCATCCTCCCCTCTTCCTCCTTATCCTCCTCCTCCTCCGATCAACTTGCACAACTTCCTCCTCCCCCCCCCTCCTCCTCCTCCTCCTCCTCCTCCTCCTCCTCATCCTCCTCATCCTCCTCCTCCTTCTACTCCACCTCCTCCGATTCATCCTTCTTTGCCCATGCGATCAGTAGATTCAGAACTCCAGCAGCGAGCGCTTCACACCAACGCCGAAGCCACCACCACAGCTGTCGTTGCCAGCACTGCCGCCACCACTTCTACAAGTGAATACAGACCTGAGTTGCGCGAGACACGCACTCGAGGAAGCAAATGCGGCCGCTCGCGGCACAGGCAGCGTGTGCAGCGCACCGAGACCAGCTGGCAGCCCTGAAACAACGTGATCTCTCAACCCCACACTCCAGATCCGCCTCCTCACATCTGTTCCCCTCTTCCATCCGACGCACATACAAAACAAACCTGAATAGACTTGAGCTTTCAAAGGTCCGCGTAGACTTCCTGGACCAACGCTATACCCCCGCTGTGCGCGAGGCACGCGACGGGAGCCACGCTGGTGGAGCCGCCAGGAAGGGCCCAGCACCGACCCAAGAAGTGCGCCCGGACTTCCGCGAGCCGATGCTTGTGCCCGTGTCCTGCCTAGATGTTCCTCCCTCACCTCCTCCTCCTCCTCCTCCTCCTCCTCCTCCTCCTACTCCTCCTCCCCCTCCTCCTCCTCCTCCTCCTCCTGCTCCTCCTCCTCCTCCTGCTCCTCCTCCCTCTCCTGCTCCTCCTCCTCCTCCTGCTCCTCCTCCTCCTCCTTCTCTTCCTCCTCCTTCTCTTCCTCCTCCTACTCCTCCTGCCCCTCCTCTTCGTCCTCCTCCCCCATCCTCTCCCTCCTCCTCTTCCTTCTCTTCCTCCTCCTCATCATCCTCCTCCTGCTCCTCCTCCTCCTCCTCCAACTCCTCCTCCTCCTCCGCCACCTCCTCCTCCTCCTCTTCCTCCTCCTCCTCGCCTCCTCCTCCTCGCCTCCTCCTCCTCCTCCTCCTCTTCCTCCTCCTCCTCCCTGCCCTCTTCCTCCTCCCCCTCCTCTTCCTCCTCCACCCCTTTTCCTTATGGATGACTCCTCCCTGTCGCACCCCAAGACAGCTCATTAGAGCGGACCGGAAACTTGAAACTTGAACTTGCGATGTACAACAGTTTGACGGTGGAGGGCGGGCCGTCTTCAAAATATGGATCTCGCCTCAGCGCCGCGCGCATTATCCTGACAAGTTTGCAAGAGTTTCACGTTGGACGGCGGGCCGTTTTCAAAATGTGGCTCTCGCCTTAGCGACGCGCACATTATTCTGACAAGTTTGCAACAATTCCACAGTTGGATGGAGGTTCCTTTCCAAAATGTGGCTCTCGCCTCAGCGCCGCGCGCCTTCGTCTTAACAGTTTACGACAGTTTCAAGGGTTCTTATGGTTGCCGTCCCCGAAACGGTGCTTGGGCAGGGTTTAGGATTGCCAGGGCGCGACAGTCACGTTGATTCGCTGTGATGACGTCCCAGACATGGTGTCCTGGCACGGTTTAGGACCGTCTGGTCGCAATCGCAATGTTGATTCGCGGCGTTGAATTCCCAAGAATGGCGCCTTGGCACGGTTGAAGATTTTCAGACGGTTGTCTTCCAACGGGGCCCGCAGGGAATACAGATCATCATAGGAGCCGACGAGGAGGAAACTTGGAGGGAGGGTTTATTGCAACATCGTTGATGAGACTTGGATTTGGCCTGGTCGTCCTCCTCCTCCTGATCCCTCCCGCCCGCCTGTGGCCGTTGCTGCTCTTGTCGGAGCCGCCGTACTTCGCGCTGCGCACGTAGATCTGAGCGAGGGCGCCCTGGGTCCGGGCGCGGGACCCTGCTGGACCGCACCGTGCTCTGCAAGGACGGGCAGGGGGGGGCCCAGGCTGGTGCGGCAAGTCGTGCCTCCGCCATCGCGTGCCGCACTGCTCTCCGTTTACGGCAGGTTCGCCTCGTGTAGACCACGGCGTAACTTCCTGACACCGCGGGGATCGTTCAAGCTTGAAGGATCGGCCGGTCCAGAAAGGCCGCATCGTTCAACCATGGGCCGATTCTGGGTCGCCGGCGGCTCTCAACGTTGAACGCAGGCGGCGGGGTCGCCGCCGGTCAACATAAAACGAGCCTACCGTACCATTACTGGCAATTGTCATGGTCATGGTCATGGTAATGCTAATGGTAGTGGTGATGGTATTGCTCCGTGCTCTCTTCTCTCCCGAAAACGGCAAGGAGGCTGCCCGCCCCCTCCGCGCACCGCTTTTTGAAAACACAGAATGTCGCTATGTGATGTTATGTGGTCCTTCCTGTTCTTTGCGTCGAAAAGTCTTCGGTGTCTCAAACTGGCGCTGCCGCTGCAACGTTGGCCTTATTCAGGATTGGCACTTTGCCCCGGTCGCTCAGGATGACGCTCTCGCCCCATCGTGGCCATTTTTGCGGATCCGAGTCCTTCCTCATCGTTGTCGCCCCTTCATTTCCCATCCCCCGCCTTCCCCTAACCCTCCTCATACGCCTCCTCCTCCTCCTCCTCCTCCTCCTCCTCCTCCTCCTCCTGGTGTTTCCATTCCAGTTCCCACTGTTGCTGTTCGTCCTTGCCCTCCGCCTCCTCCTCCTCCTCCTCCTCCTCCTCCTCCTCCGCCTCCTCTTCTCGTCCACCTCCTTTTCTTCCTGCTCGTCCTCCTGCTCGTCCGCCACCTCCTCCTCCTCCTCCTCCTCCTCCTCCTCCTCCTCCTCCTCTTCCTCCTTTTCCTCCTCCCGTTCCTCCTATGTGAGCAGCTCCCGTTCTCCGAGTGCGCACAGCACGAGGGGTCTGTTTGGAAGTTCCGAGTCCGCTATGACGTGCGTCCGCGGGCAGAAAGACAAACAGCGCCAGGGATGGGTAGGATGGGTGGGAGGGGCAGGATGTCAGATACGGCGCGAGCGCACCTAGCTTGCCTGCCACCCCTCTGCCTGCTCCATCTGTTAGGCGCCGCGACCCATAGATGGCTTGGGAGCTGCCGCATGGAGGCGCCTTGGTGCGCCTGCTGCGACTGCGCGTGCTGGTTGGCAGGCGCGCCTCACGCCAGCGTGGCTCTCCACGAGTGGGCACGTGGGCGAGTGTTGGCAGGGGCCTCGCTGTCTGCTGAGCGGCTCGGTGCGGCGGAGGGGCTGAGGCGGAGTCGTGAGATCGTCGCCGTGCTCCTCGGGCAGTCGGCAGCTGAGAAGGAAATCGCGACGACGGAGGTGAGAGGCGCTGGCGCTGGGGCTCCCTGGGGCGGCGCTGCTGGAGCTGCAAGTCGGCAGCAGGAGGCACCTCCTGGCTTCGCGGTCGTGGAGGAGAAGGGGTCTGGCGCTGAGGTGGCCTGCGACGCGCAGGATGCGGGCAGCCGGCACACGGCGTCGAGGCGGCGCAGCAAGTCTGCCTCGCAAAAGCGGAGGGTGGCAGGCGCTGGCGCTGGGGCATCCTCGGGCGGCGCTGTTGGAGCTGCTCGTCGACAATGGGTGGTTGAGTTTCTCGGATTCGCGGTCGTGAAACGAGGAGGGGGGAGGAGGAGGAGGAGGAGGAGGAGGAGGAGGAGGAGGAGGAGGAGGAGGAGGAGGAGGTGGCGGACGAGCAGGAGGAGGAGGAGGAGGCGGAGGAGGAGGAGGAGGAGGAGAAGGAGGAGGGGGAGGGGGAGGGGGTGGAGGAGGATTTCCAGGATTTCCGCCTTCACGTAGTGAAAACTAGGCTTGAAGTTCAGCTCTTGCACTTCGGAAACAGGCCGCGCTCGATCCTGTCCAGATATTCGCGCCTGGCCTTCGAGATGGGTAATTTGCACGGTTCCGCTAGCCCCCTGAGCTGGGCTTGACCGAAGAAACCGCACGTACCGCAATACCACAACTGAAGGCATTTATGATAAATCAAAGCGTGAATGGGATGGGTCCAACCCCCAGCCAAGTGTAAACGCCGTCCTCTCGGAACACGTGCAATCTGGCTATTCACATGATGGAGCTGGAAGCAATCACTTTTTAACAATTCCGCTAACGCCGCTTTGGTCGAAGAGCCCCTACACACACTACACGCCCTACCACTTTCGGTCAGGGAGTGGGCAGACGCGAAGCGTGCAATGGCAATAGGAGGAGGAGGAGGAGGAGGGGGGGTGGGCCAGCCCGAGCTGAGGCCCCAGCTTCCCGACACCTGGGAGGCCTTGATAGAATCAAGCCCTACACGTAAAAGCCTCCTCCGAACCAACAAGGCTTTGTGTTCGATGGACATGGCACGGAGACGACTGGCCTGGGAAACCCGCGCGTGCGCGGCCGATTCTCCAGCAAGGACGTCGGCGCATGCATTACCCATCACAAGCCAACTCGGAATCCCACGAGCGAGATACTCCCGTGGGCCGAGGTGCGAGGGCACCTGCATGATGATTACACTGGCAGGGTGCCGAGCCTGTCGCAGAAGGAGCTTGCCGACCTCTCTCCAAAGATCGGCTTGCGGCCCCTCAGGTCGACGAAAAAGCCCAGAATACCAACCCCCAGCTACTTCAGCACAGTCTGTAACGTAAGCTATAGCACCTACGGAGAATCTGAGGGCCCAAAGGAACGCCAGAAGCTCACCTCTAGGGACACTCTGAGAGGGCCCAGGGAGCGGCCCCATCAAGAAAGGACCTAGGGCGGGTGGGTCATAGCTCCTAACATTCGCGACGGCCAGGCCTACCCTACGGAGCCTAGAGTCGCGGGTGTCTTTCCCCCCCGACGCGTCCCCAAACAGGACCAGGGGCTCCCTCGTGGTGCCTATCCCCAGACAGCCCTCCTCCAAGGAGCCACCAAGCCAATTGCCCCCAACGACGGCCTCTTCGGAGGCGGGAGGAGGGACAGAGGTCCAAGAAGAGGGGATGAGGCCCCGCATCCAAAAACACGGAAACGCATCAGACTCAGACACAGCTTGAGTGAGAAGATCGTTTGAATCAGCATAGGCCTTAGGCGCAGAACTGGCGCTGGCCTCACATGTCCAGCACCTGTGCAAAGCTGTCTCTGGACCTTTCCCGCACCGAAGGCAATCTGATGAACTGCAAAGGTGGGCCTGGAAGCTCCTCTCGCGCGTCCAGAAACCTCCCGTGGCGATGGAAACAAGCAGCTCCGATAGCTGCCTGCCCTTTTTGACATCCTGCAACTCGCAAATCATGGCCTGCAGTGAAACCATGTCCACACCGTCTGCGACCCCGTCGCCGCAGAAATGCGCAGCTGCTGCCCGCCACTGCTGAAGCTCCCTTGTCCGCTGAAAATCGTCCAGAAGGGGATCTGCTTGATCCAGAGCCTCGAAATCGCTCCCGTGAAACATCCACGAATGCGTCATCGAAGATCCATCATGCGGCACTTCCCATTCCGTCGGAGATATCGGCTTCCAGCCCGCTTCAAGCAGGCACATGATAACTGTCGTCATGGGGCCGCGAATGTGACGAGCTCGCTGCCCCACTGGTAAACTGGAAATGTGAGCAACTGCCCGCGGCCAAGCCCGCACGATGGCCGGCCTGAACTGAGGGTCAGTCAGCCACACACTCAGCCATTGCGATAAGCACTGCCGCGGCAGACGCACTCCAGGATCGTGACCTGGGAGCCTGAGCGCCAGCAGCGTCGTGAGACACCTGCCGCGCTTTGCTGACCCCGCGGCAGCGCCGAGACGACGGCGCTGCGACTGCAGCACCGAACCGAACTGCCCGTGCACGTGGTGCCCGTAGACGGCGGCTGCCTGCGGCCCTGTACGCTGCAGCTTGGCGGACACCGCCCAGCGCCGAGCGGCCTGAGCGTACTGCCGCAGCCGCCCGTGCGTCTTGCTGGACTTGAGCGCCCGCTGCCTGACGGTCGCTCGACCGTGCCGCCTGCCGCAGGACAGATCCACCCCGAGGTAGGCGGTCTGCAGCACGGCTCGCAGAGTGACTCCCTTCCTCTTGAGGACGCGCTCGACCACCTGCGCGTCACTGCGATGCGAGCACAAAACAACACTCTTGTCGGCGATAGCCAACTGCAGCTTGGAGAACAGCCTGATGGTCGACAGCACTCCCTTGATGAGCGTGGACCTGACATGCTGCCTCGAGCCCATGACCCTCTGGGATAAACCATCTATCCAAATTCGCTCTGATAATGACACACGTGCCTGACAGAGGCGCTGGCACACGTAGGCTGTGAGGCACTTGGCAAACCTCGTGCCATTCCGCAGCCCTTGTACCACTGAACGGGTCACCGGGAACGGTTCGCTGAACGAGTCGATCTGCTCCAGCATGCGCGGCGCCAGGCAAATCTGAAGTTCCAGATACAATATGACGGCGGGAAAACCTTTGCGCATGGCACACAAGGTCAAAGATTCCCACTCTATGGAGTCGTAGAACGACGCAATGTCAACCACCGTCTGACCGTGCGGTATGTCCAGGCGCGAATGGACCCCGTCTTGCAAAGCCCGCACGAACGCTTCCCGCAGGGCGCTGTTCCCCGCGATGGCGGCGCCCCAGTGGTCCGTCTCCGCCTGCAGGGCAGACCACTCCTTCATCCGCACCTCCCTGGCCATGGACCAGACGCGGCACAGCATCGCGATTAACCCGATCACTCTGTCGCCGCCCGACTTCTTGCCTAGCAGCTTCCCCACCACGCACATGACCTGCCATGGCCAAGAGAGGCCTTCCTCGATCATATGAAAGAGGTCGCAGAGGCACTGGATGCCCTCATCGGGCAGCCTCTCTATGTCGGTCGGAGAAAGCCTGTCGATCCCGAGACCTGCGCGAGCCTTCATGCGCGACAAAGCCGCACGAACATCCGCAACGTCCAATGGAACGAGCTGCTCCACTTCAGCTCTGCTCCTGACCGTACCCAT